ACGATGGATAGAACCCGCACGCTCTGCAAGCGTTGCGGTGGATACGGGCACACTTTTAGACAGTGTCCTGATTACGTCTGCTGCATCTGCAGCGAGATTGGACCGGATCATTTATCGATCCACTGCCCTGGACTCAAGGGACGCATCGTGCTCCAAGAGTTTTTAGATGAAGAGAAGTTTTTCGAAGCTCTCTTAGATTGGGAGCAGAACCATAAAGCACTCGCCGACCTCGCGCTCGCCTTCCCCATTCCACCTTCCCCTATGCCCGCGACGCCGATACCCATGACGCCTGTGCCAGCAACTCCCTCGACACCCGCACCATCCTCCCAGCCTTTGGACGTAGTGTTAATTGAAGCCGGTGACTTCAACCTTAGTAACGGGGTAATGTTACAGGGATCTGTAACACCTACTAGAGCCCCAGCTCTCCCTACACCTGCCCCCGCTCTGCTAGACTCCCCGCGCGGCGGTACGCCGCCTGCGCCTAGAAAGACAGCGGTCTGGACCGCTATGACACCGCCTCATGGCGTTATGACCCCGCCTGATGCTATGACCCCGCCCCTGGCCTAGACGGCCTTGTACCTGTTCCATGGAGGCTGTACGTCTCATGGACACCCTAGATCAGCGCATGTATACAGCATGTCGCTTCATGAAGACCCGGAGCGCTTGGCGCCTCCTGTACCTATGCGCAGCAGCCCTTGGCGCCGCATGTATGATCAGAGGTTAAAACCTCATGTATGCTATCTCTCCTCATGTCTAGTTATCTCAGATTACCGATATACTATAGATTACAGACTGAGCTAGAATACCTATAGCTAAACCCTATAAGAGTAGCTACATTGTCATAGATTATCTTTACTTTAATCTACTAGGTTCTACCAAGAACTTGCTCATATAAGCTTAACTGCTTCCTTGTGTGAGACCGCACTTCAGAGTCGTTCCCATACGCCTCTGCACGTATCCGCTAGCCCTGCATCTCGACGAGCGCCGTCTTACCGAGATCGCCGGAGGAACCTTTGACGTTCCGTCAGAGTCAGACCACGCTCAGCTTCAGTAGAGTCACTCGACTCGTCGCAGAGAAGACCTATCCTAGTTCCCACTACGCCGACCAACAGTCGACGTAACAATAAGAGTAGAATAAAAGAATCAATCATGGCGACCATACTATTGAAAGAACTGCCTTGAGGATTCACTTTTGAATGAGTTCATTGGAAGTGCATTCAACTGGTCTTAGTCAACTAGTCGATACAACAGAATCTAAATCTGTCTGTGTGGGTTCAAAACCTGCTAAAGATGAAATTGTCAAGCAATCATCAGAGTCAAAATTTGTTTCTCTTGGAATGTGCAGGTTTGAAACCTGCCAATGATAAAATTCATTTTCTATCAAAACACACCTTGAAATTTACTCATAGTCGGTTTGCTTGCAAGATGATCAAAGTTGTGTTTAGCCATGTGGCTGTCATAACAGAGTCAAAATCTGTTTCTATTGCAGTGCAACAAGTTCAAAACCTGTTGAACACCACATTTTTCCCAACTCTTTATAACACCTCAGTTCAAATATCATCTTAAATCCCTGCTCATTCCTGTCTCTGTCTGACTTGAGTCTCATCTCTTGTCTTTCTCTTAAGTATTAGGATTGATTCTGAAGACTTCACATCTTCAGCTCTGCCTCTGGCAGTCCATACTCTGTTTGGTTCTACTCTGGACTTTGTCCATGGTAGTCCTTCTGTAGTTTTCTGAATGTCTGCTGAACTTCTGGAGTTCATTCTCAGCCACTGGAAATTAAGGGAAATTACTTGGGTAAGGGACACAGCACTGTAGCACTCAGCCTCGCGCTGAGCTTGTGTTCAGTTATTTTATGATACACATCAGATGTCTGCCGCACGCTAATCATTTTCTGATGACAACCTAACAATTACCCACTCAACTCGATGCTTATCTGATCAACACAACGTTTAGGCCAACTCTGACCCAACATATTCATATTCTCACACAATTGTCCTCCTCATGCCCTATCCTATCCTGCTAGCCCCACTAGGTGCGTAGTTCTTATTTCGCACATTACCCATGTTGCAGCCAGTGCTATTACATGTTTTCCCATCATCCACAGCATGTAGTGTTTGTTTACATGTACTTTGGGATCGGCCATATTCGAACCAAAAACACCTACACTTCCCGCAAACCCTGTCAATGAAACGCTACCCCCAGCTACCCTTTCCCCTCCTATCCCAAAACCCAAATTTCTCCCTCAGAAAACCCTGCCACTAAAGCCAATATACCCTACTACCAGCTCTCGAACAATTCCTCATCAGTCTAAAATGCTCTCTGTTCCAACCGTCACCCTTCCCATTCAGAATACGACTTCATCGACAAATGCACCAGCCATGTCCACCGCCAACAAAGGTATGGGTGCTATGCCCGGCCCCGGATCAAACAAAGCACCATCATTCAATGGTGAAATGTCAGAGCTACTCGAGTTCATAGAAATGTTTGAGGATGTAGCGACATCTTACAGACTTACGGACAATGACAAATGCAAGATAATAGTATGCTACGTCAACCTGGAGACCAAGAGGTTCTGGGTCATGCTCACTGTTACGCTGACCGTTGGTCGGTGTGTGCAAACTAGGATAGGTCTTCTCAGTGACGACTCGAGTGAGTCTACTGAAGCTGAGGGTGGTTCTCGGCTTGACGGAACGTCAAGGGTTCCTCCGGTGATCTCGGTAAGACGGTGCTCGTCAAGATACAGGGCTAGCAGATATGTGCTAAGTTGTATGGGGGCGACTTAGAAGTGCGGTCTTATGCAAGGAAGCTGGTAAGGCTTAGTTGAACAAGTTCTGGGATGAACCTAGTAGATTAAAGTAAAGTCTAAGTACAATAATCTGTGTCTACCTATAGGGAAGTACTACAAGTATTCTAGCTCAGTCTGTAATCAATAGTATATCTAGGATCTATGATAACAAGACATGAGGTTCAGATAAGATACATGAGGCTTAACCTCTGATCAAGCATGCTGCGCCAAGGGCAGCTGCGCATAGGTACAGGAAGCGCCAAGAGTGCTCCGGATCTTCATGAAGCGACATGCGGTATGCATGCGCTGATCTAGGGTGACCATGAGGCGTACAGCCTCCATGGATCAGGTACAAGGCCGTCTAGGCCAGGGGCGGGGTCATAGTGCCAGGGGCGGGGTCATAGCGGTCCAGACCGCTGTCTTTCTAGGCGCAGGCGGCGCACCGCCGCGCGGGGAGTCTAGCAGAGCAGGGGCAGGCGTAGGCAGAGCTGGGGCTCCTGTAGGTGTTACGGATGCCTGTAACACTCACCAGATACGAGAGCAAGAACTTTACAGTATTCAAGGCAAACATTCTTGGACAGTACTCTGGAGTGGCAAAAGGAACACGATGGACCCTCCGCAACTTAGAAACAGTCATCCTTAACGCGGTTGAGTCTGATATCGAGACTGAAACAGAATTACTACAGTACTATCAGCAGTTTCAACCCATAGCCGTATGGCTAGTAGCTAATTCGAAGATCTCGGAATGCGAATGAGACCAATACTTTTGGCAGGGACTTCCTCAGTCTGTATGACTCACCACTGCAAATCCCGCCAACAAGCTCAACAGACATTTATCACGACATCCTGCTGACAAGCTCGACAGATATATACAGCCTCCATCCCCCTCAACAGACATCTACCACGCAATCAAGTCTTCCAGCCTTTAAAAAGCCCATCCCCATATCCCATCTCACTTTCTCCTCCTTTGCTGAGTTCCTTCTTCAAGCACACTTCAAAATCAACCCAGTCAGCCGCACCTTTGCATACAAAAAGGTAGCCAACAAGGTCAAGCCGCTAGCTACAACGATGCCAGCCCATGCATGTATTATCCGGTGCATTCCAGAAGATCCACTTCAAACCCTCCCATTCCTTTCCCCAAATCCTCCTGCATTCCATCCCGGCTCCCGTTTATCCCAAGATCGCATGGATGAACTTGGTATCTTCAAAAACGACTTCCTATAGCCTGAAGAATGCAAGTTAGCTGTGCAAGTCCTCACCAACAATGAGCTAGCACTTGCCTGGGATGAGTCCGAGAAGGGTCGCTTTCATCATCCACACCATTGAACACACCCCCTGGGTCCATTGTCAGCCTCCCATCCCACCCAGCATTAAGGAAGAAGTCATCGAACTCATCAAGTCAAAAATAGCCTCCAGCATCTACAAAGTGTCCAACTCATCCTACCAATCCCAGTGGTTCTGTGTCGTGAAGAAAAGCAGGGCTGTCCGTATTGTTCATGACCTCCAAGAGCTCAACTCCATAACCATCAAAGATGCTGCTACAATGCCATACATAGAACTGTTTGCAGAACAATGTGCAGGATGCGCCATCTACTCCATGATTGACTTATTCATCAGATTTGATTACCGAGCAGTTGCAGAAGAATCCCGTGACACCATCACATTTCAGATTCCTCTTGGCACCTTTCAACTCACAGTCTTACCGCAAGGTTGGATGGACTCCCCTGCCGTGTTTCAAAACAACATATCATTCATTTTACAGGAGGAGATGGACATAGCCCCCAATTTCCAAGACAACGTGAATGTACTCGGCCCTCACACCCACTATGAGCTTAGTGACGGTACCTATGAGATCCACCCACAGAACACGCTCATACGAAGGTTTGTTTGGGAGCACTGTGTAGATGTGAATTGAGTTCTGCATCGTCTCAAGCACGCAGGAGCTACCGTTTCAGCGAAGAAGTTGTTTTTATGTGTTCCTGAGGTCCTTGTTGTCGGTCAACTCTGCAATTACAAAGGATGAATCCTGGACAAAACCAAGGTTTCAAAGATTAGAAACTGGCCACCCTGCACAACATGAACTGAAGTTTGTGGCTTTCTCGGAACTGCAGGCACTGTTTGCAACTGGATTAAAGTTTATGCCCGTATCGCACAACCTCTCACTAACCTTACTCATCTTGACACTCCATTCGTATGGGATTCAGCTGTGCAAAATGCCATGGACTCCCTCAAAGATGCAATCATTCATTCTCCCGCAATTCGCCCCATCAATTACTCTTCTTCACTCGAAGTCATATTAGCAGTAGACTCATCTCATATAGCATGCAGATGGATTCTCTCTCAAATCAATACAGAAGGTCATCGTTGTCCATCCAGATTTGGCTCCATTACTTGGAATGAGTGGGAGTCTTGTTATTCCCAAGCCAAAATCGAGTTATATGGCTTATTTTGAGCCTTGCGCACAGCAAAGGTATGGCTCATCGAACTCAAAAGCTTTACCATCAAAGTGGATGCAAAGTATATTTGGGGCATGCTCAATCATCCTGATATCCAACCTAACACTGCCATCAATCATTGGATAGCTAGCATCTCCCTCTTTGACTTCACCCTTAGACATGTCCCCAGAAACAAACATGTAGCACCAGATGGATTGTCTCGACGGCCCACAGCACCCAGAGACGAAGAAGACTTGGATGAAACAACGGAAGATGTTGAAGAGTGGATTGAAGAAATACTGGGATGCAGAATATGGGTGGCAAAAGAAGTTAATAACGAGTGG